GAAAATACAGTGATTGTGTCGAGTTCATCGAGACGCTTGCCAAGACATGAATGGTCTTGCGATTCACGACGCGAGTTGCTCAACAGCCATTCAGAATGCGCTCTCGGACGTCTGGAGTGCTGCTCCATTTCGATCCAACTTGTTTTACCAGAGTGTGTGTGCTGTGCTAAGACTTAGTGTATTCATTTCCGAGAGCAGTTCAGTGTCCTAACATATATTCAAACGAGCGGCTGGCTCCAATAGTCAGCTCTGACTACACTCTAGCAGTCGATACAGTTGTGCGAATTCGAGCGACTGAGTAAGACGGATTGCATATTTATAGGGGTGGGCGATCTCGAAAAACCATGTGAAAGCGCCCATTCCAAACGCACAATATCATTTGCACGCACCACGACATCCCAACATAAATAAAACTTCAGCCTCCAAATTGGCGCCATTTTGGGACGTGTTTTGTGCCCTGGTACACATATTATATGCAAAAGCGCATCGCCACCTTGACTCTATCTACTGTTGGCGCCTCAATAGATGGATGCCCTTGTTTAGGACAAAGCTTTTCAAAGCGGCGCTCGCCCACGTTGTTTCCATCGTAGCAGCCCACTGGATCGGAAGAGCGTCGTGTAAGCGGCGCTCGCCCACGTTGTTTCCATCGTAGCAGCCCACTGGTTATAAGGGTCACCTTATTACCCTCATTGCCCAGCTCTCGACGCCATTCGCAGTGTTCGTGTGCAGCCATCGTGGTCTCTCAAAGGTAAACTTTGGACAGAGACCCTTCAGCACGCGACGTCCTGAGCCAAATGGCCCTCGTCGTCGCAGCGCACGGAGGTTATTGCCATGACAACAACTTGAGCGACAGGACCTCGCAACGGCCCTCGTTCGTGCGCTTTAAACAAATTCACGTCCGCTTGCCACGTCACACATTTGACTACCGAATTTTTTCCTGCATCGCTCGATCCAAGGCACCTCCCTCGCCTCTGCACACAAGCAGTACACCAAGGACGTCGATGACTCTCTTGGGCTCTCTCGTCTGCGAGGTGACGCCTACTGCGTCACCCAACAAACTGTAGTCTGGGAAGAGGACGCGTCAACTGTGTCCGAAGAGCTTGGACCATGACAGAGTCGACGCACTTGTGTATATACTGGCCTGAGTTGCAACGAAGCGCGACAACAAAGCCAGACGTGCTTCGACTCCATGCTTCCATGTGTTCTTACAGGCGTTGACGCGGGATGTTTACCCCAGAAAGAGCACATGACAACACAGCAAGTGCACGGCGCCATGAGGACGTTGTTGTCCCTTGATAGGCTTATGAACGACATGACGGTCATCCGTATTACTACACGGATCGTTCTAGCTGATCGTTCTGCTTCCCGCGATCTTCTGTGCGTTGACCTTCTTGCACCCATGAAAGGAGGTACCCAGGTGCGACGACGACGTGAGGGAGTCGGAAGGCGAATTGTCGCCATATGTATTGAAGCATACCATTTCCAAATCGATCAGATCTGGGATCTGGGAGCGCCGATGATGGCGCCGTATCCAGAACGACGACGTCCATTCTTTGTGCTGGTTTGCATGGCGAGCTTCTCGCAGGGATCGAGTTAGAGGGACTTGACGCTGACGTTTTCGTTGCCCATTGAATCTGCCTGTCTGAACGTTCTAGCATCAAGTGATTTTCATTTCAAAGCACGTATACCTGCGGCGATGCTCGGCCTCGCTGGACACTATTTCTCGCTTGATTTGCTGAGCTAGACTCCACGAGAAAGGGAGCTGGTAGCTGGAGCCGGTCCGGAGCAGGGTCCGGAGAATAAATTTGAACTTTGATCAACCTCGAACTGTCCAGTGGGAATGACAGCCCATGACTGCTGAGCGATATCTCTGCCGCTGTCTGTGGCCCGCGTCCAACGACAAACCGCAGACCGCGCTTGGCTTTCCTTCGTGAGCACATTGGGTGGCGAAAAAAAATAAAGAAATGTGGGGAACCGCCTGCTTGCCCGAGCAAGATGGACACTTTGTCGCGCTCTTTCGGACCAGCCCATCGCTCTCTGCCGGGTGTGGATGTTGGCAGAGATGGCTACTGGCGTCATGCTGTCCCTGTTGCCGCGGGGTCTCGCCTTAACTTTGCTTGCGGTGCCTCTTCTAGCATCGCCAGCACGCGCCTGTCGTGCGACGACTGATCGGACTCGGCCGCATGATCGAAATGCTGGGTGCAGGGCCACACCTTGGCTTCCACAACCCAAGGTCCGCTCTGTAATTCTTGTTGGATCACACTGTGGCGCTGTCGTGTCTACGGGGCACCGTCGTTTCGTTATCGTCGGCCACTCTTGCACACGGTTCGTCACCCAAACCACGAGACGAGCGCTCGTCCGCAGCTCCTGTCGGAAGAGTCGCACAAGGTCGCTGTGGTCAGCAACCGACCAGAAGTCGCATCGCTCTCTTCGCATGAGATTCGCTGGCCCCTTTTATGTTATGCACAACATCGGCGGCGCGATTCCGCCGGCAGCATCCTTCGTCGTGCGTCATACTCGAACCAAGGCAGGTGATGACCACATGCTACAACAGCTGGTTGCACATCGCGGACGTGGGTGCAGTCGATCCAGCGCAAAGGCCGTGGCACGCTGTTAGCAACGCGCCGCTTTTCCTCTTGGCACAAAGCCCTCATTTTTCATTTCGCCGCTCACCAACGATGCGTCTCTTCTCGCTTCTCGCGCTGGCGGCGGCCGTCGCGGCCGTCTGCCCCGACCCGGAGCTCAAGTCGCAGTCGCCGATCGACTTTCCCAAGCTGGACGCGACGCGCAACGTGAAGAACGTGACCATGTCGTTCACCAATGCTGCCGACGGCGTCATGGCCAACGAAGGCGAGACCATCAAGGTGTTTTGGGACGGCGGCAAGGAAGCGTCATTTGCACTCAACGCCAAGCCGTACAAGACGGCGCAATTCCACTTCCACGCGCCCAGTGAGCACACGGTGCGCGGGTACCAGTACCCGTTCGAGATGCACATGGTGCATCAAGCGGCCGACAAGTCGCTCGCGGTCATTGGTGTCCTCTTCAAGATTGACAACAAGGCGCCCGAGAACGCGTTTTTGAAGAGTCTTTGGCCGTCGATCAAGGACCTTGGGGACGTGGGGTCGAACGTGACGGTCAAGAACGTCAACGCAGCGCCGCTCCGGCTCTCGTCGACCTCGAGCGTGTACCGGTACTCGGGGTCGCTCACGACGCCGCCGTACACGGAGGGTGTCGAGTGGGCGGTGGTCAAGACCGTGCAAACAATGACGCAAGCGCAGTTTGACACGTACAAGCACAAGATTCACGAAGACAGCGCGCGCCCGGTCCAGCCGCTCTACGGCCGCAAAATCACGCTCTTGGAGTCGCCTTAAACCTAATATGTACGATTTTGATTCCCTATTGTCAGCAACGATGATATGGCGACCGAATCGAGCATGCAGCGATCCGGAACCGCAAGTGGAGGAATTTTCGATACGGAGGGTGTTGGAGCTCGGGCAGATGGCCGAAGAAGGACACGCTGTTAGTTAACGCAATGACTTGATATTTGAACGAGTTGAAACGTTTGGGGAGAGAGGATGATAGTAGAAGCCGTTGCGTGCTTGATGCGACATTCGATTCCGAACAAGCTTCATTCACCGACAAACGACGTTGCAAACAAGAAGATCGACAGAGCCGCATGATCGAGACCATGCAGCAACTCGGGAAGCGAGCCGACTGCGAGACGCTTTGGTGTCGCCAGGTCAAGGCAGAGGTCACGGTGGCGCGGTGACGTGAGGGGTAGGGTCCATCGCATCTGTAATAGGCAGTGGACAAGGACAGTTTTACCATCGGCGCACTGCTACGGCATTGAGCCAGAAGCAGCATTGTCCGTCGCATGTCTCTCGATTACTTGACACACTGCACCGTCGAAGCGGCCACCACTCGGCTGGCTGGCGGCGCGCACCATGTAGCGAGCGGTCGGCCGTGAAAAATACAATGCACATTGCGCACAATCCAAGTATCCAAGTATCCAAGTATCCACGCTTGTTAGCCACGCACATTGTCATAGAACCGCCCACACGAGATCGCCGCGTGTGCGCCAGAAAGGCTACATAAACCAGCCGAGCATCCGGTGGAACGGGTCGTACGGGAAGCCGCCGTCCGAGTCGTCGTCGCTGTCCGAGTCGAACGCCGTGTCATCGCCCTCGTCACTGGCCCCATCACTGTCACCATCGTCCGACGGGTACCATGGCGCGTCACGGTTCACCATGCCCGTAAACCACTCGCGCTCTTCCCGCAGGGCCGTGCCCTCGTACGGACTCGAGACGCAGCAGCACGGACCAATGGGATGCTGGCGCAACATGTTGGCCAATGGAAAGAGATGGCGCTGACACGCCGACGTCAGTGCATGCAGCACACAACCTTCCGTTCGGTGCTTGAGGAGGAACGATGCGACCTTGAGATGGTTGTTGCGTACGGCGAGCGAGAGCGCATGCGACGTACAGCCCTCGTCCCGGTGCGCATGAAGGAACTTCACGGTCGAGAGGTGGCCATGCTCGGCGGCTTTGTCCATGGCATACGTCGAGCAGCCGTCGTCTCGATGCGTATGCAGGTACTTGACGACGCGGAGATGGCCGTGCTCGGCGGCCAAGTCCATCGCCCGATGCGTGCCTTCGGGAAGGTACTGGAGAAGCCGCAAGAAGCCGTGCTTGGCCGCAATGTGCAGTGCCGACGACGTAATGAGCTCCGGCGCGTTCTTGACGTGGAGGTCCAGCAGCGCCTTGTCGTTGCGCTGGACGATGCGGTTGACAAGGTACGCTGTCGAGAGATGCAGAAAGCGCGTAAAGAGGTATGTCATCGTGACGCGATCGTTCGACGCGAGCGCGTCCCAGAGCGTCGCCGTGCTCACTGCGTCACTTTGCACTTCTACAAACGATTGGACCAGAGTCGCATGGCCGCCGCGGACGAGCCCGGCCAAGAGCCGACTCGTGCGGCCTTCCGGAAGGTGCAGTAATACGTACTCGACGACACCCAAGTGCCCTTGGTCGAGGGCGTCGACGACCGCCATGCGCCGGGCGGCCAACGTCGGTCGCGCGGTATGGAGACACGCGACCATTGCGACGTGGCCACGGCATATCGCGGCGCTGAGTGCTTGCTTGGTCACAACTGCATTCGCCTCGTCGTTGGCGAGGACAAACTGCAGCATTGGCAGGTCGCCATGCGCGGCGAGCGCGTCGATGGTCTCGGGGTGGAGCCAGCGCTCGGGGCGATTCGCATGGAGGTACGCGACGACCTCGAAATGCCCGCCCGTGGTCGCGGCCGTAAGTGCGCGCGGCGTGCAGCCTTCGTCGCGCTGTGTCTGTAGAAAGCGCACGACGTCCAGATGCCCATGCGTCGCTGCGAGGTCCATGGCCGCGGTGGTCGCGCGCTCGGGTCGATGCGCATGGAGAAAGGTGACCATGGCGAGGTCACCGCGGCTTGCGGCCGCGTCCAGCGCGCCCGACCGAAAGAGCTGCGTAAAGCCATGTTCGTGGAAGAGACGCACCATGTCGACGCGCCCGAGCTGGATGAGCGAGAGCATGACTTCGTCGCCGTGGCGGATGGCGGCGTTTGGCGTGACAATGGCCGCTTCGATGAGGTACCGCATGCATGCAAACTGCCCGACGTTGTGGTCGCGGCTGCAGCTACAGCGTGAGAGCGCGCGGACCATCGTGTACAAGACGTCGTCGGACGGAAGCGCGGCTTGCGTGTGGTGCAAGAACGTGAGCGCGTCGAGATGCCCATTGGCCGCGGCGCGGTCCATCGCAAACGACGTGCAGCCCATGCCTTGGTCGTGGAGGTATGTCATGATGGGGACGTCGCCGACCTCGGACGCAATGTCGAGCAGCTCGCGCGACGAGAGCGTCCCGTGCGGCGCGTCCGAGAGCCGCAAGGGCGCCGCGAGCTCCTTGCAGCGCACGAGCCGCTTGACGAGCTCCAGGTCGTGCTCGGCGAGCACGTTGAGCCACACGCGTGCGCGCCGGTTGCTCACGTAGAGGAGCGCCATCATGTTGTCGCCAAGGACCGCGTCGAGCCGGCCCGGTAGCACCTTGTGCCCAAGAAAGTACGGGCGCAAGCAGAGGTAGATGCCATCCTGGTAGTCGGCGACGAAGCTCATGAGCCCCAGGTCGAGGAGCACGCGGGTTGCGCTCGGCGACGCCTGGAACGTCCGGCGCCGCTTGCGCTGGATGGTCTCGTACGACGAGCGCATCTTGACCGTTGCTGCGTCCTAAATTTCGATTTCGCCATGTTTTTCAGAAATATTTCTTCTTTGCCGGGGCGAAGCCGGGGCACGGCGACCGACCAGGACCGCGGCCCTTGCCCATCGCAGGCGCGCCGAGGCGATGAATCATGGCGACAACACCGAGACGAGCACGGTACATGGCGACAACATCGAGACGAGCACGGTACATGGCAGCCAGCTGGCCATCCACGCGCAGCACGCTGCTCCGACCCACGCCCTGCCCCTG